GTCAGGACAGGAGAGGTAGAGAGAGAGCATCCGAGAACAAGGACAGGAGACGGACAGAGAGAGCATCCAAGAGTCAGGACAGGAGAGGGACAGAGAGAGCATCCGAGAGTCAGGACAGGTAAGGGGAAAGAAAATCCGAGAGACAGGACAGGAAATGAGAGAGAGCATCTGACAATCAAGACAGGGAAGAGAGAGAGAGTATCTGAGAGTCCGGACAGGGAAGAAGAGAGAGATGATGATGAAGCAAAAGGGAGAGGAGGAGAGAAAAGGAAGAAGGACAGAAGCCAAGAGATAGTGTGACAGAGGAATGTAACAGAGCAGAATTGACACCTTACTCCAAAAAGAACAGCACAGAACAGCTTTCTTTCCATCACACTAAAGATGTTGCAGAAAGCCCAAAATCCACAGATACTTGATAATACCCAGGGTACGACATGGAGAGGATGAGGAGGGTACTCACTGATGTGTGGACTATATGTTCGAGGATGTGCCCTATACTCAAAGCAAGCCTCTACCACCACGCTGTGAAAACACAAGCACATCCGAAAAACAGCTCAATACAAATTCAGCAATGATACCAGTTACTCAAAGCACTGAAGTTCTGTTAACAGACAAACGTGTTACAGAGGTTTTCCCAGCCACAAAATATTCAATTCGAATATGGCAATTCCTTCTGTGTAAGGGGATTACTGCTGTTACTTGTCATAGAGGAACATCCTTCCTTTGTTCTTAGTCCTCAGTACTGCTTGAAAACCATGCACAACTACAATAAGACACTGGGAAGTTATTTATGACACTAAGAGCAGAACAAGGTTGAAGAAACCAAGCATTCCTGCAAATACACACCTGTGAGACTGTCAGCACTGAACTGGCATTGCACCTTCTCTTGCTAGAGCAAAAACGACCAGACGGTTTTAAGACATGCAAACAAACCGGCAGCTTGTTTGAATTGCTATGGGAGGCTCTCTGCTGAAACAGACTGCAAAACAACCACTTTGCCATCAACTGGTCTGTGTGGCAAGGGCCTGCACTCACTCACCACACCCCATCTCTGCCCTTGCAGTTGCTCTGCTCCAGGTCGATGTTCTGGGGCTTGATGGTAACCTGCCGGGCCACATGGATCACGGGGCGAGACCTGGGGGTGGTAGGGATGGGTTGAAGGCTTAAAGAATGGAAATGGAAACTTGGTGGCTTCTTAGGGAGTGAGTGGGGGGCGGAGGGTGAGCTCCCAATGAGACAGACCACTGAAGGGATCTCACCTGTAGAGGACAACCTGATCCCCAAGGGAGCCCACCGCTAGGTCAGGGTAAGAGTTCCCATCAATGTCCAGACCCCCCGAAATTGAGTATCCGAAACGCCTGACCCCTACGCCCACACCGTCCAACACCTGGGCCCAGACAGAGAGAGAGGTGTGTGAGAGAGACCGCGAATGAGGAAACGCAACAAGCTATTTAGCAAAAACATCCATCTTTTGTGGTAGAACTGACAACCTCACCATTTAAAGCAATTAAGCAATATTTAACTGCGGGAAAAAAATAATTCTTATATCTAAAGAAACAGGTCTCCTTTTCTGGTTGTGAATGCTGCAGACTGAAAGTTGCTATTGCTGATCAAGGTCCTGTAAGGCACCGCAACCGTTCTAAGTAGATCATGAGGTCACACAGTTTCAGCTCCCACTGACCTGGGCAGGGGAGGTGATGATGCCAGAGGAGCTCCCACGGTAGATGAACACTTTGCCATCGCCATCAAATGGGGCTCCAACTGCAATATCTGGATAGAGACAGAACTTTCTTTAAATGAGTGGTGCCATCAGTGATCCCTACCAGCCACATACAGCGTACCATATTGCACCTTTTAGGGGGATTCTTACTTAGAGATGTTCAGTCATGATCCCTCAGATGGCAGAGTCGCTCAAAGGTACCACATGTCTGAAGCTGCGGCTCCTCTCTTACTGAGCAGGATCGCTACTATAGGGTAAAATGAACCTGTCTCGTGGCTGTCTAAACCCAGCTCACGTTCCCTATGAAGCACTGGTGAACCATCCAACACTTCGTAGATTCGGCTGCGCAGTGTGAGGAAGATCCGACATCACATGATCGGAAAGTGGCGGCGCTACGAATGCTTGGCCGCCACAAACTAGTTATTCCTGCGGTAGCGTTTTTGACTCTGCTTACATCCCCAAAAGCCAGAAGGATCAGTGTAACCCACTGTCAGCACAAACTGACAGCTGTTTTATAGCAGAGGGCCTCTGTCTCCACTGCAGACACAAGGAATAGTAAGACTCCCATGGCAGTCTGACCTCCATAGCCATCTTGGTCCAGATCGCCCACGCTGCTGACGGTCAGACCGAACATGGAGTTGTAGGTCCCGTTGAGCCGCGTTGGCCTGGCCCATTCCCAGCGCCCAGCAGGGTTGAGGTACACGTACACTGCGCCCCCGATTTCTGCCTTCCGGTCAAAGTAGTTGGGGGCCCCCACTATCAGGTCCACCCATCTGGGGAGGAGAGAGGGAAAGGGAAGGTGGCTAAGTGTGGCCAGCTGTTACCCCTGGAACTAAGGGAACATCAAACTGTCACACCGATCAAAGTTTTTCAGTTATTGGAGACGCCGTCTTAGGTGGGCGTCCTCCATGATCAAGCTGCAGATGCCTACGACAGAATAAGGCTTTTTGTTCATGGTTGACATCTCAGCGCTACAGTCCTCTTTCCTAAAATTGTCATTACGGTTGTTTCTGATCCCAGCTTTGGATACACAAACCCTCCTTAGTTTTATTATAAGAAATGGGAAAACACCACCGAAAAGACTGATGAAGCCCAGGCGGCTTCTCTCTTACTGAGCACAATCACTACTCTTATGACCCTTACACAAGCCTCCGTTACGAACTGAAGATTGTCCTTGCAGACTACCAGTGACTGAACTCGAGGCTGACAGTGCTGTGTGTGCAGGATCTTGAACAGCTGTGCTCCTAATTCCAGATATGCCAATACGGATGAAGAACAGTCTCTCAAAATGAGCTCACAATTGCAGTTAAATCACCAAAGCTCATTTCCAGTTACCGATTTTTCCTATCTTCAGGAATTATTTGTGTCTCAACCGAGAGGGGTAAAACATATGTAAAGGACACTCAGCTCTTTTTACGTGGCCGATCATACAAAATCATATTTTGTTCCCTGTACGTCCTCTACAAACTGTCTTTGCTTTCACAATGCACTTACATGACGTCACCTGGGCTGTGATCCTAGGGCAATGCAGAGGTACTGGTAATGATAGTTTTTGTACAAATTGAAACTCTTGGCGGCCCTGAGCGGTAGAGAGCCTCACCCGTCACTGTTCAGGTCGGCCACGGCAACAGAGTACCCGAAGGAGGATGCCAGCTCCTCGCCCCACAGGATGTGCATGGGCACGAGCCGGTAGACATTGTCCTTGAGCAGCAGCACCACGGCGCCTGTGTGGTTGGCACGGGGTGCCCCTGCCACAAAGGTCAGCTCTGACTTGCTGGTGATGCCCTTGGAGGAGTCTACTGAGAACCCTGTGGGGTGAAGGGGTGAGGTGACATCGTCAGGACCAGGAGATGCATGTGTGCTTCACACCAGGTGACCTGGCACAGACAGGCTATTCCTACCGCTTGCTCTTCACACCTACCTTGTTCCTCGGTGCCAGCTGTCTTGTGTTGCTCATGCACGTTTGTATGAGTTTATTATATAAGTATACAGACGCAGAAATAGAGAATGTGTTGCACTTATTCGTATCTCAACCAGCAGCCAGCACCATACAATGTTCTCTCTGAGCAAATCATCTGAATGACTTGTGCCACCCACAGAAAGCTTAGGGCCATCAACCTAGAGCACAGCATTGGTGACCTCAGGGCGGGAATCAGATGCTCAAAATGAAATCTGAAAATCTGAGCTAGTGTAGGTGGACAGACGTGACTTTGAGCGCAACATTACCTTCAGACCATATCCAGGTTTCAATTGATTCCTCACTTTGGAATACCTTATAGAATTTAAAAACTGAGGAGGATTTTCGGTATTGGTTGCCAGGGAGTTAGCCAGTGTGTGAATGAAGCGTGGAAAGGCAGTCTTTCAATGCTGTGTGCGAATTTCGGTGTGTTTTGGTACATGCACATACACTTGCAGCTATACCGCCTTAAAGCCTGACCTCGTCATATCTCGGAGGCTTGAACAAAGCTGGGTCTCAGCAAAGGAAAGCCGGGTGTGTGTGTTTGAATTCGGTGGCACTAGTGACAGGGCATGGGTTAGGGCACCTTGCTGAGGATGTTTCCATTTATCAGAGGAAAGATTAAACCGAGGTCCTAGTGAGACTGAGGAATGAAAGATCCCACAGAACTGCAGAGAAAGGGGAGGGTCTTAACCTCTTTGTTACAGCCAAATATAAAGGTCACACATGGCAGACTGCAGTCACTTCCACCGAAGGAATTTTAGCCCCATTAATACCCGTCGGCCATGTGCTAATGGTACTGTATCACCACGAAAGGGGAATTCAGGCCACTTCTTATCAGCAATACCCCATTTGGAAGATTCATAGTGCTCTTTGGACAGAGTGTTATTGTAAACACAGAAGCCCTATTGTTTGCATTTCTGTTTTATCTGAGATAAAAGACGACTTCTATGCTTAGACCTCTGTGTGAAAATGCTTGCTCTCTTAAGCATAAGGCTCAACAATCAGAGCTAACAATCTGAGGGATAAATGATTAGTTCCCTGTTTTAGCCACCAGGGGACTCCGGCTGCATGTGTCCATATGTGTGAGCCTCTGAAAAGTACTGTACAGTATGTGGTTGAGGTCAGGCGAATAGCTGCTGTAAAGTTCGAGTCTGGTGACTGGATTCGGGCAGCTGTGAAAACAATGATTTATTAGTTTATTTGTTCATAATGAGCAAACCAATCATGCAAATTAAATATCCACCAAAGAACAACTAGCATGCAGGTAGATGCCAGGGCAACGGGAGAGGGAGGGCAGACTACAGCAGCTTGAGCTGTCATGCATAAGCGACACAGGAACAGATGGACACATGGAAGGATGCATATTGAGCTGATCCAGGGTGGCAGGTGTGGGACTCAAGGCTGGATAACAGCTGTCCGCAGCAGACCTATAGAACAGTAGGAAATGTCAGCCATCGGCTTGACCTTCTGTGTCAGTCCCTACTGGAATCAAGCTAGACCAAGCTAACAGCCATGGGTATGTTAGGGTGTACTCTGATTTGTGCTCAGTTTTATACTGAAGTGAGTCAAACCTCTTCCTTTCAATTTGGAAAAGCCCTGTAATACAGTAGAATGTATAACAATAACTCCCTTTCTGAATTTAACTGGTTTTGAATTGTTTTAGCATATTTAAACATTAATTATACACGCCTTGCTGAGTTTCCGGTCATGTCACACTACACAGTCAATTAGTCTCACAGCCATTGTAAAGCACTCCTCAGGATGTTTCATCTTTAATACTGAAGTGCCCTAACCCTGACTAAAGAAACATTTTCCACCCCTGGTCCTAAATATTTGTTCTAACTGTTCTGCACAAGCTTACACCCACCTTTTCCACATTTTGAATTTTCATGTGTACACACTAACCGATTCGTCAAAGGGCAAGCTTTTATTGTGCAGAACATGTATTCGCTGTTCAAGTGTGATCTTGGTGTGTTTCGTGAGCTACTTAGTTTTCTACAACAGTTCAGCGCTGCACCCTCTGTTTGGTGACAACAGGACTGAGTGAACAACCACTGACTTTTAAATCAGAAGAATAAAGCGTCTTCGGTATTAAACACCCAGGACAGGGACGGACGGTGATCTCAATGGAAATGGATCGATGCCATCACGTGAACGCATACCATATAAACTGTGCATTGGTGTCACCATCAATGGAAACATGCGAGTTAAAGAGCACTGGAGGTGAAGGCCGAGTGGCCGAATTTGGGCTAGGAAGAGCATTCCGAGAGCACATCCAAATGCAACATCTTCAAGGCTGTTAAACTGCTGCAGTGAATGATGGGGACTCAGTTATCTTATTAACAAGCCTGTTACAGCATAGGGGAGTCTACACACAACTGGGTAACTTCACTGATGCAAAGAATCTAAGACAATTTCAAGCCAGCTTTCTAGGTTTGACATGGTACAGTATATATCACTATGAGCAGCGGCAGCAAGCCTAGTGTGACTCTGGGAAAATCAGGAAGATAGGGTCACATTTGAATACAATGTCTCAAACAGAGGAAGCCGCAGCCACCCACGTAATGCAATACGCACGTTTCTTTTCATCTTTTCATCTTTCGCAAATCGAAACGTAAAGAGCAGCTTCCGCTGCCGACGGACAAGCGGAGTCGCATCCTGGCACATCCTGGACACAGACGACGGGGGAAGTTTAAGAGGATGGAGTCTGTCCCTTTCCTGCCTTTGAGGGCAGTTAGAGTTGTCCCGGTAGCAAAGCCGTTCTCAGTCTTGATCCTGCCACCGAGGAACCTCCTGGCGACGCGGACACCCCGACACACACATGCAAGCCACCGACCGACAAGACGGAGACCCAGACAGACCGCCGCTCTACCGCAGACTACAGCACGGATGCCCAGCTCTAACTCTCTGGCAGAGCTCTCACCACCATTGCAACTTCCTGCCGGCACTGCCTTCATGCCGCGGAGCAGCACAAAAATCACAGCACTGTTGCCTGCAAAGGTGTTAGAAGTCTTGACGTCCCACTTGGAAGGCATGGCAACTCACCACAAAGGATGGTGTTGCTGGGAGACATAAGTTATCTGATAATAAATCTATTTATAGTCTTTCTAGAATCTGTTGTATCATCCTAGATCCTTTTCCCACCTTCTTGAATCGTGTTTAGCTTTATTTTAAGATTCTACAGTTTTATTCATGTGGGGAGGCTTTCACTGGTCGTTTCAAATGTCCTTCCCCTGCTGAGAACTATAGTGGAATTAAAAGTGAAATAATCTTCAACCGTTGTTAGGCAACATGCATTTCGTCAAAGATAACCTGTCTCAAGTTTTAACAAAAGATCAAAATTACAGTATACTGTGACAAAGCCATGTGTCATGCAATAGAACTCTTATTGTGGGTGTGGACAACACTGTCTCATCTTGTTTGGTTAGTTTTTGGCAAAGATGCTGTCCAGCAAAACACACTGTTCTCCCAATAAATACAGTCCAGAATTACATATCAGTTTTTGCCACAGTGGGCAACAGCTCTAAGATCAGGAACTATTCTGATGGTTGTAGAAACTCCCACTGACACTGAGTGGCTTCTTTCAGTTCCCTAAGGAGACATGTGCTGCAATGGTGGTGGGCTCCTGAGAATGAGTTAGAAAGAGCCTCTGTTCTAAACAGACACTGGTAGAGCACAGGGGAGGGGAGGGAGGGTGGATGGGTAGGGTAGGGGAATAGTCTAGTATAGGGGACCTGTTCTGACAAGGCCTCCTCCTCCTACAGACCTAAGTAGCTATTCTGAGCTACGTCCTCAAAGGTGGTGGCGCGCCCTGACGGCTCCAGGGTTTTGTAAACCAGCGTTTCCTCGACTGGGCTGGTCATAAACAGGAGCCCTGGGCCCCGGCGAGAGACAGCAACAGAGAGAGAGAGAAAGACAGAGAGAGAAAGGGAGAGGGAGAGGGGGTGCATGTGAGAAAAACTCCTCTAGGATTGTGACTTCAAGCGGGCATCAGGGTGGGTACTTACGCCAACCTCTGGTGCAGCCAAGGGGGCTGAGAGCTGTCACCCGGGGTCCTGATAAGCTACTTGAACCCAAGGCCACAACATATAACTACAATACAACCTTCTGACTATAAAAGGAGACAGGCCCTTGATGGCGTTTGAGTCTCCTGACTCTTTTAGGTTTTTGTTTCTGATGGATAGCCATGTTTTCTGGAACTAAGAAGGAATCCCATCCTGGAGAATATTAGGGAGTCCCGGTCACAGGTGAGAGTCCCAGAACAGCTCTCAGTCCCCTGGCTGCCCTCTCAACCGTCTGGTGCCCGGTGCCAATGGCAGGCAAGCCCGTACCCAGGTAGCTGTTATAGGGCACTGGGATCAGACTTTCGTCTTGTTTTTTCTCATCTGCCACCTCGTAAGGCCCATCGTCAAAGAAATCCAGATAGAGCATGGACTGGTTGAGGAGCTGAACCCGCAGCTCACCTGAAACACAAAGGAATGAGAAAACAGCACACAGACACCCACACTCTACACAGACACCCACACACGTTCTCTACACACAGCACTCTAACACACAGTCCTCTACATACAGCATGTTAACACATAGTCCTCTACACACAGCACACTAACACACATTCCCTACACACAGCACACAGACACCCACACTACACACAGCACACACACATTCTCTACACACAGCACGCTAACACACACTATCCTGCACACACACATTCTCTACACACAGCACGCTAACACACACTATCCT